ATGTCTCTTGAATTGTGCAGACCCTTAGATTTGATAGAATTAACAGTGAAATCAGACGGAATGGTCCAAAATTCACATTTTTGATAGTTCAGTGGATAAAAACATATTATTAATAATTGAGTGACCACATTTTGACTATTGAAAAAGTTCAGTGGTACCTAGGAAATTTGCTCGGCAAATTTAAATTGAGTTATTTTTGTAGTTAAATGGAATTGGGTAGTCAAGAAAATGAAAACGCAAAGGTAAGAGCCAAGCCTTTCTGAGCTATAACCAGAGTGCCATGCATGAAGCACTGGTGACTGGACTAAAAGTTCTTAAGCAAAGCATTGCCAATTTTAAGAATATTGACAGGACAACGAAATCTCCAATTACATGCAACTTTTGTGTTTACCACGTTAATGAATTGAACTATGTAGGCCTTTGTGCACTTGCTTGTTTAATCACCAGGTGTAGATTCCAAATGAAATCACCTTAATATAGTGAGTGATGAAATATCCATACGTTCACAAGTCAAAAGAGATTTATAGTGAACCAACAGAGGATTCTCTGAGCTTTTAATTTTTATACAGAACAAGCCCTTTTTTTACTCTAGAGAATTGATTGGTGTTCCATTATGGCATATGTCCAGTAACTCTCATAGTCTTCTGTAAACCAGGCATCCCCCTGCACAATCTGTTATCAGCTTTGGAAGGGAGAACATTCCTGACAGACTTGAATTTGAGAAATGATGATATGATTGCGAAGCCTAGTAGGACAGTTATGATCCTTGGCAGAAGATTAGGAGTTACAACTCAGAATCTGGGATAGGAAAAGATTGGTAAACATTGATCAAAAGTTTTATTTCCCAACAATCAACGATTGGTCAAAACAAAAATTCACTTCTACAAGCCTAACAGCCTAAGATGGATAATATAGAGGGTAACGAAAAGGTCAACTGACTCAATTTAGTTTGCCATTATGATCTTTTCCTAGATCTGTTTTGTGAAATTTTTCTGAGTAGAATGATCCGTAAAATAATGCAAGGTCTAATCTAAAGGGATAATTTTAGAAACCTCCCTTGAGGTATCTTATATCACCTAGTACTCCTCAAGTTTCAAAAATATTACTTGTCTCCCTTATTTTCAAACTTTTGTAACATTACCAACCCAATTCATAATATAATGCTAAAACTATAGTTTTTGGTGTGTATAGATAATTTCATTCCAAAATTGTCCTTTTGTTATTTTTCCTTAATTGTCATGACAAACCAATTTGAAATCCCCTGAACATTTGAAAATATACCAGTTTACTTCTTTAATGAAAAATTATAAGTTTTTATTGGGGTTGGGAGATCCACTAACAAAATTTATCTTATAATTTAGACAAAAAGATATTAAAAATTTTAATTTATGAATAATTTATAAAAACACGTAAAAATCATCCATAATACAGTATAAATGAAATAACTTTTTCTTTTCGCATCTCGAGAGGATTACAATTTAATTTTTTTAGCCATCTCAAATAAGTTATAAATACAATTTTAAACACTTTTCCTATTTTCAATTTCCATGCCATCGATATGGATAAAAATATGAAAATACTAAATTATTTATAAAATTTCTTAGATTCACTCAAAACAGCTTACATAAAGGAAAGATTTCTTTATTTGGTAAACTAAAAGGCAGCTAATTAGAATGTCAAAAAATAAATGTGGGCTCGACATCAGAGTTTTAAAATCATGATCAATCCCCTAAATTGCAACATTTCAGTAGAAAAAATCTACCTTTCCATCAAAATTATCGACCCCCTATTATAGCACCAAATAATTGATCCCTAAAAAAGACCAAAAAAAATTTCTTTTTCTAGTTTGCAAACATAATAAATAAAATTTTCTTTTTTTTTTTGTAGTTTAAAAAATTCTGCTTATAGTCACAACTGTTATATTTTATTCCATCATAATTACATCTTCATAATTTGTCTTTGTTTTGAACTTTTGATTAATATACCTTTTGATTTGTAAGAGTGAGGCAACTGAAGGGCGAGGTAGGGAAGAAACTATGTTCTTTTTCTTAAAATGAGTATTTGAATAGTATATTTTGAATTGGGTTTAAAATGTTAAAAAATTTAAAAATAAGGGAACCAAATGATATTTTTGAAACCTCAGGAGTGCTAAGTGATATTGTCAGAAATTTCAAGGATGGTTTCTGAAATTACTCCAAATCTGAATTTGAGCTACTCTCTGCTGCTGCTGAAAAGCTCCCGATGGCGTGGTCTGCTATTTAAATGTCGGACCGCGCTTTAAGCATTAGGAAAACCCTCCCTACTTGTACAGTAACCATGTCGTTGGAGTGGGAGACGCCTTTCCTGTCCTGGAAGACTGAAGCGTGACGTTTGTTTCCAATAAGACCAAAGACCTCTAAACCTGTTTGATAATCTAATTTAATATTTAAATTTAATGAGTTCAGATATTACTATGTTTAAATGCGTTTGATAATAAAAAATATAATATTTGAATTAATTAAATAACATTGAATTTTTTAGGCACAACTTGCTCCAAAAAATAGGTGATAAATTATTCACTTATCATTTAATATGATATACTCTTAAATGTAACAGATTTAATACTTAATAATTAATTCACTTAACGGATTCTAACTTTATATTTCAGATTTCAGGTTTTAGATTTCAATTTTAGCAAACGCATCATTAGTGTCATATTTTGTTTAAGAGGATCAATAATGGTTCATCACTTATTCATGTGATGACTCGAACCCATAAACCTCTTGATTACAGGTGAAGCATATTATCAATTAGACCATGTTTCGTTTAGTTCGTTGTCACCTTCTTAGTATTATAACTAGGAGGAAAAGCCCATGCGACGCGTGGGAGTTTAGTGCTTATAATTAAATATGATTAATAATTATTATTTGGTATTTTGTAGTATAAGAATTGAAGTATGACAATTTTAATATATGATGTTAAATAGAAAAATCATAAGTTACATATTGAGTTAAAAAATATACTAATATGCAATGAAACAAAATTATAAGATACGATCAACTATTTTGCATCTAACCTAATAAAATAAAAGACCTATTTATATATGCTTATGCACTTTATGGATATTAAAATCTATTGTTTATTTTGAATTTGATCTTAATATAAGGGCAATCCACCACATTATCTTGTCATATAAGTGAGATTTGAACAATTAGCATATTTGAAGAAAATCATTGCTAGTGGAATTTCGGTTCTTGCAAGCCAAATTCTTGAATTTATATTGATTCCAAAGACATATCATCATGAAATCTCCACATTCACCAATCCATCAATTATGATTTATTGTATGATTTAGAACATATAGTAAAGCATCTCCTTCTGGATAGGGATTACAATCACTAAATATCAGTTTTTGATCTAGTTGCAAAGATATACAACAACTAAAATGCTAATTTAGAGGAATAACCACGTCAAATAAAGTACTAAAACATCTTAGACCACTCAATTCAAGAAAACAATTAAAAGTAATGAAGTACATACTTTAGATTTGCAGCCAAATAGTTTTAAGTAGATAGTTAAACCTATTGGCAAATCAAATGAAGGAAAAAATTTGCTTAAATGGAATCATCAATAAAATAACAAACAATTTGAAAATTATCATAACTAATAGTTAAAACAACAAAAGTAGATGCAATCTGCATATGGGAAAATTTATAATGATAAACTTACTTTAAACCACAAATAATAATTAACAAATGTGATCTCCTCCCTATCATGCCTATCTAATATGGACAATTGAATTAAACTACTAAAAAATTATCACACATACAACCTTCAAGATTACAGATTTCTTACAACTAAAAAGTAGATTGGTTAAAAAAAACATACCTATTGAGATTTCTTACAAGCAAAAAGTAGATTGGCTAAAGAAAATACTTATTAAGAAAGGTGTTGCAAAATGGTGAAGAGGAGTAGCTAATATAGCAATATCCAAATTTAATAAGCTACATGATTGTGGTGAAAGAAAGTTGTAAGTAAATGAAATGAATATGAACAATGGGGGTAACGGCCAAGAAAGCAAACTTCTCTACTAATTGGCATTAATTGTGTCTTAATATCTATATATCATAAGTTTGCAGATAACTGATAAGAAATGCTTTAGGAAATTAAGAGACTTGGATGTTAATACAATTAAATGATTAGAAGGGCTTTTATGTTATTTCACTAAAACACAAGCTAAATTTAGTTATACCCAATGTTCAATCGGATATCTGTCACCCCTAGCTTTAAATGTCTAAAAGGACATCTAAGTAATTACAACAAAACTAAATTAGCTATAATGACTTGTATTCAATATTCCAATTGCACTTCAAACTCTTACATTCCCAAAATAGCCCTACCCTTACGGTTGAAATCCAAAGAACATCTTTACCCTAAACTCATTCTTATATAGTATAAGGATAAGAAATTTGAAGATTTAGTTGTATCAAGAACCTACGCTTTCTATCCAATTCCTCTAGAAATGTATATTTCATTTTCCTCTTCTTTTGTTTGTTTTTAGTTGGGTGTAGCATCCTTCTTTTAAAACAAGGAACTTATCAATTTGAAAAAAAAAAGAGGAATAACAACCCTTACCAACGTGATATAGGATACATATTTATCATAGACGAACTTTACATGAGCACTGGTATATTCAGAATAGAGCTCCTAGTGGATCATAATTTTGAGTACAGCTCCTGCTAATTTTGTCCACAATTCCCAGAGAAAATGTTGCTCAACTTTGGATGAATTGAGCTTGAGAATTGGACCTTCAATCTAGCACTTCCTTAATTTGCCATAAAAAATACAAATATTTTTTAAACTTCACAAGGTCACTATACCATAGCATACAGTAATGCAAGTTCAATTTTTCAAATTATATTTCACTGGTTTGAGGGAGTTCCAGTGTTGTACTCCTGTAACTTCTGTAAGTTCATGAGGCAATGATTCAGGTTGCAAAAGCTCACCTGCTAACCAATTGACTTCCAATTTTTATCAGCATTCACAAAACATTTAATTATTCCGTAAGCTGACGGTTGTGCTGAAGGGTCAAACTCATGATTGTACAAAAGGAGACAGTGGATTGACAAGTAACGACTATTGAGTTGCTAGTTGCTAGTTGCTAGATATGCATCCTACAGATCAAGAAAAGACAAGAATTAAGTGTAGTTAATGCCTTCTTGGGGTAACAACTGGCCCTTTACATCTCACTTTCTGAGCCGAGAGGGAAAGAAAAAAGAAAGAGAAGAAAGGAAATGGACAATCAAATAAGAACAGTTACGGACAATTTAAGGCTTGTGAGGATAAAGGTGAACTGGAAGTCCATGAGCCGGTCTTGGGTATGGATAATGTAGTACTTTCTCATCAGGAATTTGTTTTTCCCATCTATACTTGTTCACCACATTATGCAGAAAAATGAGTATTGCAAGTCTTGCATACTCGGTTCCAGGGCACATATGTGCTCCACCCCCAAATGGGACAAAACTGTAAGAAGCTGGACCATCACCTTGAAATCTTGATGGATCAAACTTATCAGGGTCAGGAAAGTATTCAGGGTTTTTGTGTGTGGCGTGTGCGATCCAATGAATCTGCAGAAGTGAAACAAAATGACATGTCTGAGATTTCTGTTGATCAAGTACCATGCTTGAGATTTTGGAGCGCAGAAGCAGAATGTACCTTCCATCCTTTTGGAATTGTATATCCTGCATAGTTGAAGTCAGTGATAGCTTCTTTGAATGCCCCATGTACTGGTGGTTTTAGTCTCAAAACTTCGCATGCAACTTGCCATGAATACTTCATCTTCTTCAAATCCTCCCAACATAATATGTTATTTGGCTCCTTTAGATCTGCAATTTCTTTTTGCTCTTTCCCCAGAATATGTAAGAAATATTAGAATGTAGGAAGCACCTGACTTAACGACTATCAGTTCTAAAACTGGGAAGAAGGAAAAGAAAAAAAATGTTTCTCAATTACTTCCTATAGTAAATATAATGTCCATATACTTTAGCCTACATGTTTCATCATTTGCAGGGGGCATCTTTGCCTATGCTGACTACCGTTGCTTATCTTGCATCTAGTAGTATAAGTCTTGATTTTGGAAAATTACCAACAACAATTCTAAACTGGAACCAAGATGCTTCTGGGGTAATGTATCTTTATCTCTATTACGCCTGTATCTCTGGTTCTATTGGTTTTTTAAATGTCTGAGCTACCATTGATTGCCATTCTACTTCTATTAAATCATTTATTTCAGTTGAATTAATGCAAATCAGGTATATTATTGATTGCCATTCTACCATTGATTGCCTGCTCTACCAACTAATTACTATTATGAACACATTCAAAACATGACCAGATTAAACACATAAACAGCTATATTAGTCTTACCTCTTAGGACCGAGTTATAAACATCAGAAAACTCTGTAAGATACATCATGATGTTAGTAATTGTGTTGTGAACGGTTGTGTAGGAACCTTGCAATAAACCTACTAAAATGCAAGCTATGTCGGCTTCGCTGTAAAACTGGCCACCATCATCTGTTGCTAAAAGCATGTGTGACACGAAGTCCTTTGCTGAAGATGAACTATGCACCGAAAGATCAACCTTTCTTTGCCTAATCATTGACTCAAACTCTTCCCGCATCAGCTTCGATGTTTTGATGGCACGATTCAAAGCTGTTCCTGGAAAATTTAATGGCATTGAATGAAGACCAGTTGCTATCTCTTTTATACCCTTTTCAAGCTCATCAATCTTTCCCTGATTGTCGATGCCTAAGAATGTAATGCATGCCAATTTGAATATGTACGTTTTCGCCATATCACCAATCTTCACTAGTTTGCACTCGGCATAGATCTGCAAATGCTGCTTCATTATTGCATCCATGACACCAACATATGCTCGTAAAACATCTTTCTTGAGAATGAAAGTCAGGAGTTTATGCAACGCTTTTGTGTGCTCAGTGTTAGGCTTATTATTTGACTTGGGAAAGAGCTTGTCAATTGTGCTTGGCCACCAATGCTTGACAAATTTATTCTCATTAGAGAACAGAAATTTGTTTCCCTCAGCATCACATAAGATAGCCATGGGGTAACCTATCAATGATGTCCTGAAAATCTTGGAGGAGTACTTGTTCCTCCGCTCTGTTACAAACTTTTCAAGGACACCCTGTTGAATTTTGGAGAAATACTCCAAAGTTTCACCTACAAGAGGCCAGCCTGTTCTGCCTGGTGGAAGCCTTGGGTTTTTAAAAGCAAATTTGCCGATTGCAACAAGAGATTTATCTCTCAGACTGAGGTTACAAATATACAGATATACAAAAAGAACCAGCGACAAAATAAGCAAAAAAATCTGTGATAATTCCATTGCCTTGATAGGATACTTGCTGATTCTTTGTTCTCCAAGATGAGAAACGTATATTAGATCATCAAAGAAGAGGGAAAGAAAAGAACCTCTCTAAGACCTGGAATGAAGTTTCTCACTGCAGATTAAAACCCTTGTATGATAAATCTTGGAAACGAAGAAAGATCCTAGCTGCATTCATGGTGGTTCCAGCTAACTTGTAGATGAACATATCACTGGAGGTTTCAAATCAGTGAAGTCAAAATAGATAACTGGAGATTTGAAAGATGTTGTTCTGTTTTTGAACTTCAAATCAGTCCACTCAAGTAGCCTGTTGCAGCCCCCCGGGCAGATCGACTGGTTTCCGTAGTCCCCTCTTTAGGGGCAGGTCACTGGATCGACCCCCGGGAGAGCTAACGCGCTGTGAACCTTGGGGCGGGGCTCTCACAGACACAGGGAATTAGTCGGACCCAATGGTTCCGGACACCCCTGTGTCAAAAAAAAAAAAAAAAGAGTAGCCTGTTGCATTTGAGAAGAACCAAGAAAATGAACAAAACCAGACGTTGTGTTATTACAGTGACTATATTTGTTTCATCAAAGGCTCTAATTTCCGAGATGTGGAGAAATTAAATAATAGATTTATAAGTTTTAGATGTGCACTCTCCACATGGCTAGCAACATCTTGATGATCTCAAGATCTGAAAAAGTAATAAAAAAAAAGCTTGTTGACCAATATTTTTGTACTCTTTGTGTGAGGACCTAGTCTCACACCGAAAATGTGGCTAGCAAAGGAATTGTATAAAAATTTAAACCCATGGCTACTTAGTAACTTGGATAATTAATTTTTAAGCTCATGGCTCTGCTCAAAAGTTATTTGGATCGATTCTCAGGTCTAAAGTGTTACAGTTGATATAGAGCAAACATGTCAGCTACTCGTATGTTATGATTTTGACTACATAAGAGAGTGTAAAGATTGGACGAATTTTACAAGGGCATAACTTAGATTAATCATTTTGAACCCGTAGTTCTGCTTAAAAGTTATTTGGATCAACCCTTGTATATAAGGTGTTACACTTTTCTCTGCAATGATTAATTAGCCTTACTTCCATCTACGTATTGGATGAGGTTCCTTGCACACTGTTAGCTAGGCAAGATTCATCTTAAAGAACACTTTAAGAAAATAAAATTAGAAGAGTGAAGTTGACTTATTCTTGGGGGCTATTGGATGTTAATTGAGGTTACTTCCACTGTTAAGTACTGACGTAAATTAACAAGAAGTACAAGGATTAATAACACACCCATCTATCCTATCATCTACAAGGTTGCTTCATGAAATGGTGGTCAGCAGTTCTGGAAGCTCAGGAAAGCAGAGGAGATGCAGATCAGGTGAATGCAACCATCAACATCCTCTGGCAGATTTGGAAAGCTAGGAATGATAGAGAATTTAACCAAAAGGAAAGAGAGTTTGAGAAGGCTCTAAAAGAATGGGTGGAGTTTGATGATGCTAACAAAGGAAAGGAACCAAGGAAGATCACTCAGGAAACAGAAGTACAACAGTGGACTGATCAACATCAGAACGAAGGAGGCATGAGGATGCTACTCAAGATTCATACCCAACAAGATCAAAGTCAGTCTATAGTGGGAATAGGAATCACAGCAACTGATAACTTTGGTCAAGTACAAGCAGCCTGGGCACTCAGAGAAAGAATGTCGGGGGATCCATTACAAGATCAAGCAGAAGCTGTGAGACTAGCTTTACTAAAAGCTGCCAACCAAGGCTGGAGGCACATCAAAGTAGAGCTGGACAACAGAAGACTGGTGGAATCTATAATGGATTCAAGATATAACAATTGGCGGGTTTCTACTCTTATTGGGGACATTCAGTCCATTTGTAATTTGTTTCATCAGTGCTCTTTCTCTTTTGCTAATTCGGGGAAAGTAGATAGTATTAAGCTGAGCATGCATGCTCTTAACATTTGGGTAGATGAAGAATGGGTTAGTCGCACTCTTAGATGCTAATGCATCATTGACATATGTAGGACTGCTGTCCTTTTGTTTGAACCTTTGTCCAAATACTGTAAAGAGTTGAAAATGAAATACAAAGGTATCGTTTCGACAAAAAAAAAAAAAAAAGGACTGACAAAGTAAGGAAGATCTAAACAGTTTTTATTCTTCAACTTGATGTAGGAAAGATAGAAATCTGAACAACAGTCATACAGATAGAAAAAGCGAGCCAAAATGAAGTTAAAGACGGCAATCCATGCAAACTTTATAAGAAAACGAAGTAGAACAGCCTAAGGTTGGTGAGGATAGAGGCGAATGGGAAGTCCCTGAGCTGGCCTTGGAACTGGATAATGCAAAACTTCCTCATCAGGAATTAGCTTTTTCCATCTGAAGTGAGTCACAACATTATGCAGAAAAATGAGTATTGATACCCGTGCATACTCATTTCCAGGACACATACGAGCTCCGCCTCCAAATGGTACAAATGTAAATGGAGCCATGCCATCACCTTGAAACCGTGATGGATCGAACTTTTCAGGATCATGGAAGTACTCGGGGTTTTTGTGTGTTACATCAAAAATCCAGTGGATCTGTAAGCAAAGCACACTCATTTTGATATAACGTTTTGTAACCAAGAACTAAGATCAAGAATTAGGAGAGACGAATATTGAGTTTTACCTTTGAGCCTCTCGGGATGGTATATCCATCAAATACAAAATCAGTGATAGCCTCTCGAAAACTTCCAGTTCCTGGTGTATATATTCTCAACACTTCGAGTGCTACATCCCAAGTATGCTTCATTTTCCTTAAATCCTCCCAACTGAGTCTACCATTTTGTTCCTTAATAATGGCGATCTCCTTTTGTTCTTTATTGAGTATATGCAATATACATGGAGAATGCTAATTGGATTAGTTCTAGATCCAGAATTCAAAAAAAAAAAAAAAAAGTTCATTTGCTACTTCCTCAATAATAATATGCATAAAGCTAACTTCTTGTCATCGCATCACGTTACCAACCTGTGGGAAAAAGGGGAATGGATGCTGCAAAGGGTAGAAATTTGAGTCAAACCCTGGAATGTTTGAAGTATCTATTCTATTAGTACTATCTCTCTTACGTTCATCCATTGATACTTGACATCATCAAGCTATATCTGAAGCAGAATGTTCTGATAGAAAACTATATTTGAAGTATATATCTATTCTATTAGTAGTATATATTATCTGCTCATCCATAAATGCTTGAAACGAATCAAGTTATACCTGAAGCAGTTGTGCTGACAGAAATAAAGTAGTAATACCCTCGTGCTTCTAGTTACAACTCCTGACTGTAGGGAATCACCCAAATATGAAACTGATGGTTCAAAAGAGAGCATGAATCTACCATTTAAACAATTATAAACAAGAACCAAGTCAAATTCCATTTAAGTTTCCTTTTTCTATCTTTTTTCTGTTATCGACAGCAGTGTTGCAGGATGATCAGACAACATAGCAAACTGATCGCTAAATTTGTGGATGCTTGGCTAGTCAGGTAATTTCCTCTATTTAGGTACTCATCCAACTGTCTTTCTGGTCAAAGACAATAATTCTTCCCACTGAGCATCATTCTAGCTGACATTAGGTTTCTTCCTTTGATCGTTTGGTTATTATAGAACATCCAGATCAGGCTATTTGAAGCACTAAGTAATTAGTTCTTGAACATACCTTTTAAGACAGAAGTATATATGTCAGGAAGCTCAGAAAGATACTTCATGATAATTGTGATAGTGCTATGAATAGTTGTATAGCCGGCTTGCACCAAACCTACTAAATGGCTAGCAATATCTCCATCACTGAAGAGTTGACCATTATCATCTCTTGCCAAAACCATGTGTGACACGAAATCCTTTGCCGAAGATGGACCATACTCTGAAACATCACTTCTTCTTTGTCTGATAAGTGCTTCCACCTCTTTACGCATAAGCTTTGATGCTTTAATGGCACGATTCAAAGCTGTTCCTGGCAAATTAAATGGCATGGAATGAATACCTGTTCCTACATCTTCTGTACCCTTCGCAAGTTCGTCAATTTTCTCTGGATCATCAAGGCCTAAGAATATATTACATGCCAATGTTAACAAGTACTTCTTTGCCTTTTCACCCACATTCACTTCTTCACAGTTCCATTCTGTCTGCAAATGTTTCTTCATTACAGCATCCATAATTCCAACATATTCTCGAAGCACATCTGTCTTGAGAATGAATGGAAGCAGTTTCCTTAACCTATTTGAATGTTCACTGCTAGGTCTATGATCAGACTTGGGAAAAATCTTGTCCATTGTGCTCGGCCACCAAACCTGGACCAATTTCCTTTCATTGGAAAACAGAAATTTGTTTCCCTCAGCACTACATAGTATAACCATGGGCTGTCCAATCAATGATGTCCTGAAAACCTTGGACGAATACTTGTTCATCCGATCTTTGACAAACTGGTAAGGAACACCTTGTCGAATTTTGGTGAAGTATTCCAGACTTTCACCTAGTAAAGGCCAACCTGTTCTCCCTGGTGGAAGCCTTTGGTTTTGACAAGAAGAATTGCTGTTCGCAATGGCCAACTTTTTCCTCAGCCAAAGCTTGGGAAAACACAGATATGCGAAAGGAACGAGGAATAAAAGAAACAACAGACTGTATGATAATCCCATCATTGTGAGTGTTATTTGCTACCTTAATGTGAATAGGAGATGATGCAGCAAAATTTGCATTCTGCAGCAAGGCCCATCTCCCATAGCGGTCTTATATATTAACCATGTCTCCAAAATTCTATAAAAAAACAAAATAAATAAATAATTGCTGGTTGACCTTAACCCCGTTTCTGCTAAGATTAGTCCTAATTCGAGTATTAGTAGTTTGCAGTGAGATCAGTGATGATATTAAATAACCAATGGAAGCACGTTGATGAACAAGAAAACATAAGAAAAAATCAATCTCCATAAGGCAATTGAATCGCAACGGATCTTCTGTCCCACACTCTGTGTCATTCTCTGTCCTATTTTTATTATATTGCTATTTCTCCTTCATAAACATCATGTTTTAGTTCTTTTTTGTTTCCTTATAATTCAATAACTATTAATTCAGTAAAAAATAAATACTACAGCTTCAAAAAAGCAATATATAATAGAAAATTAAAAAATACAGCAGAAAATGCATAAAAAATCTCATTTTTTATGCATTTTGATTTTTTGAGTTTGTTAAATTTTGTGTATTACTGAATTAATAGTTATTGGATCTTAAAGAAACAAAAAAGAACTAAAACATGATATTTATGAAGGAGAAATAGCAATATAATAAAAAATAAAACAGAGAATGACACAGAAAATCCGTTAGCGCAATTGAATTCATCTTTTGACTACCGGCGGCTATGATTTAAACTATAAGACAATCTTGCTTCCTTCGCTCAGATACATGCACGATACTTTTTGTCAAGACATTAGATCAATATCTGCAGAAAGGAACT